AATTATTGGGTTGTTTACTGAAAATCGTGAAGCACTAAGACAGGAACGAAACGTTTTGTAATGTTGTCATTTGCCCAGTGCTATGTGTTTAAATTGAAGATACGTGCTAAAGGAAAGGGATGTAGATCATTTGGCTAAATGATTATCTTGTTTGTTCATTATGGGCCACCGTACATATGTGTGTTTTGCGTCTAGGCCAATCAGAGTGCTCGGGTTTCTTCTGTGTAAGTCCGGTCACGGTAGTAGAGCCATGGAACGTCAGCCTTGCTAACTGGGTTTCCTTTCTTTTCTTTGTTCCTGAATAAACCTGCGGGTTGTTCCAAATTAGTGTGGTCCTTGACTCACACACGAGCGAACCAGTTTCTACACTCGATAAATGATGCTCTGTTTGGCTGTAGAGGCTACATTTTCTAAACTTTCATAGCTAGCACACTATTTAGGGAGCCGTCTGGGATTCAGCCTGGTTGTGACACTACTTCTGTGTGAAACACGGACATTTGAAGTGGTAAGCCATTCAAAGGGCCATATTTTAGACCTTTAAACTACCATTTTTCAGTTAATCATACCGTAAGTACTTTAATTGAAGCCTGCTATATTAATGATTAAGTTATTTAGCCTGTTAACTATCTTTCAGCCCGTTAGCTAGCTGACCAGCCTGGTTCTGCTCAAGAGCATCAGTTGCCAGCCCTGGGTTCTTCATCAGTTCCCTCGCTGCTCCATGCCAGCGGCGTTAGTCAAAGATCATAACATTAACAGCGCAGGGGATTTTCGTGCCGGGGCGCAGTAATACACAGTTTAGTTGTTCTGAAGCGATCATAGGTGCGCATATATCAGGATATCGTGGATTTTACAACGGCTTCGAACACGGCTCGGCTAATCAGACCTTTCAGACATTTCAGGGATTCAACAAATGAATTAAACTCGACTAAGAAAACCTTGCATTTCCCATATTTTGTCATGTGTAAGTGGTATTTCCCAAAGAGGATCATCAGATATTTACAGAAAAAAAACACTGCAATTAAAACCAATAATTAAATCTTTAAATTTATTTATTCATGACGTGACGTCTCAAACGCGATTCGGCTGCATGTATTTTCACCACTACTCTGCCTTCTAAAGCCTCTGATTAAGAGACCGCGCAGGCATAAGGCATCGAGTCAGCTGCCTTCGGCTTCGGATACAGCCAGTGCCTCACAGAGTCGAAGAGTCGACTCCGAGCATTTAGACTCTCAGAGTCCTTGGCCAAGAGTCGACCGCGACTCACAGGCCTGTTGGAGTCGAAGAATCGACTCTTTTGCAGTCGACTCCCCGTCACTGAGGTACGGTGAATGCAGCCAACAAACTATACATACATACATACATCATCTAAACCGCTTATCCTTCTGGGTCGCGGTGGGGCGCTGGAGCCTATCCCAGCTGTCATTGGGCGGAAGGCAGGATACACCCTGGACAGGTCGCCAGTCCATCGCAGGGCAGACAACAAACTATAGAATTGATTAAAACTGGTTGTTTTTACTTCTAATTTCCCCAAACCTCATTGGAATACCTGAATATTTTGTCTGTTCTATGTAATTGATGTTTTTTGACAGTTAATCTGTTTACGGTTGAAAATTTAAGTCAGTGAGCTCATTTTACAATAAATTAACTAGCATGCTAGCCATACCCAGCTAGCCAGCTAGCTAAATTTAGCCATTCCAAGCGAATTAGCCAGATACCTAAATGCATTGACCAAAAATAACTTATGTTGACATCACACCATTATGATTTTGCTGTATATTTTGTTCAGAAAGATGGGTATTAATAGGAGGTTGCCCCCCTTTGCAGCTATAACAGCATCCACTCTTCTGGGAAAGCTTCCCTCGGGAGTTTGCAGAGTGTCTGAGGAAATCCAGTCAAAAGAGCATTTGTGAGGTCAGGCACTGATGTTGGAAGCGAAGGCCTGGCTCACAATCGACGTTCCAGTTTATCCCAAAGGTGTTCAGCAGGTTTGAGGTCTGGAGTTCGTCCACACCAAACTTGTCAAACTTTATAGACACAAACATTGGCAGTAGGTCTTTATTTCCTCAAACCCCATAATGGTCTTTATGGACCTTGCTGTGTACACAAGGTCATGATCATACTGGAACAGGACATGGCCTTCCCAAAACTGTTGCCAGAAAGCTGGAAGCGTATAGTTGTCTAAAATGTCTTTGTATGCTGTAATATTAATGTTACCCTTCGCTGGTACTAAGGGGTCGAGCCCAAACCCTGAAAAACAGCCCTCCTTCATTATCCTTCATTAACCATTGTCCCTCCTATACGAAATGTTACTGTTGGCACTCTGCATTTTGGTAGGTAGCGCTCTTCTGGCAAAGTGTGTTTTATCATTCCTGAGAACTCATCTCTGCTGCCCCGGAGTCCAGTGGCAGCGTGCGTTACACCACTCTATCTGACACTTAGTACTGCACATTGCAAGTAAGAATTGTGGCTTGTGTGCAACTGCTCCGCCATGGAAACCCGTACCGTGAAGTTCCCGAGGCACAGTTCTCGAGCTTGTGTTGCTTCCAGAGGCGGTTTGGATTTCTGTAGTGAGTGATGCAACAGAGAATAGACTTATTTTTAATGTGCTACATGCTTCAGCACTCTGTGGTCCCGCTATGTGAATTTGCATGATGCACCACTTCGTGGCTGATCTCTTGCTCGTAGATGCCTCAGTTTCACAATAATAGCACTAATTGCTAGTCTTACTTCCCACCTGAACTCAATTAGTAGGGTGTGTCCACATACCTTTGGCCATAAAGTGTACATCAGAACGTAACCAAGTGGACGCTTATGCCATACTATGCAAGTATATCACTTCATATATGAATTATTTCTATACCAGCAGTGATTTGACAGTTGTTTGATGTTTTGTCTGCCTCCTTGTAGTCTTCATTGTTGAAAAGCTTGTTTGATTTTCTACATGCTAGGGAGCTAATTAATGGTTTTAGCTATATGGTTTGGTTTATTTATCTTGTTTATACCTCTTATGAACCAGTTCAGTGTTTGTTTGTTTTGGTTTTGTTTTTTGAACATAAAAAACTGGATTACAGAGTGAGATTTAAGGTGCTCTTACATTTGCAGCTGCTGCCTAAAATAAAGTCTGTAATGAAAATGTCTGGACTTATTTGCAGCAACCAAAAGTGCTACTGTTGGCAACGTTCAGATTTTAAGTGTTTTTGTTCATTCTGCTTTAATGAAAAGAGACAGAGAGAAGACAGAGACAGAGAGGTGTGAAGAGAACAGTGCGAGAAGAGAAGAGGAGGAGACTGAGGACAGAAGAGTTAAGGGTAGGAGAAGTAATAGCTGGAGAGTGTGATTTTAGATGCTGAATATGAAGTGCCATTAGCTCTGGCATCAATAAAATCAAGGGAAATAAATCAGTAGCTTTTATGGTACAAAAAAGGCCAGAGACCCTTAATGTAAGGAAAAAATTAAGCTTAGATCGACCTGTAAATATTTTAGATTTTGAAACTCCTGTACTATTTTTAATGCAGTAAATGCACTAGATTGATCTACACTATACATCTCTTGGTTCAATGAAAGTAAATGTATATAAAACCAAAAATGAATGTTATATTTCAGTTTGAAAATGTACAAAAGTAGCGTTCACCCTGTAATATCTGGCCATTCCACCACTGGTTACAACACCTGATATGTCCATTTCAAGTCACATTTCATGAACATTGTCATACACACCTACCACATCTGAGTGACCAATTTAAATATTTCAACATTTTAAAATTATATGGTAATTAATTTAAAATTAAATTGTAATATAATTATATATATCCATGGAGGTTTTGGACCACTGTAGACAAATCTTGATAAGGCTATATTCTGAACATGAACAAGGTGACTCTTTATTCTTCATATGTGTGTTCATGGGCAGTGTTGATAGATGTGATCCTTCTAGAAATGTCCTCTACTGTTTATTCTCTGGCTAGTATGATTAACACATTTATGGTCACATCCTCTTCTCAAATGTTTTTATGACCATCATTTATATAAATGGTGATACACTGTTGCTGGCGATGTCGTTTGTGTTATGAAATTCATCATGAATAATCTGTAATACAGGCAATGAATAGCAACAAAGCATTGGCAAAATGACATTTAAACTGGACAGTATCAATCAGACAGTCTATATCACTATTATATGAATAAAACACCTACCATGGCAATAACAACATCTTCCTGATAAATAATGAGCACTCAGTGGTCAAAGATGGTAAGGTTTCGATAGCAAACCACTTCTAGAAACCTTAAAAATGTTATGCCTGTGGAAAGCACTCTGCTGTAAGTTTGCTTTTATTTGTTTTAATGTCTGGAAATTCTGAAGATACTGCTTGAAGAAAAAATACAGTGTTCAGGCTGTCCTGTGTGAGTTTGTTAGGTCATTTTATTTCCCCTAGAATAATTGAATCAAAATACTTATTCTTGAAAATTTTATTCTTACCCATTCACAAGACAACATATAAAGTCAATCATAACTTAATTTAATGATTAACAATAGCGTGAACAACAAAATGAAAATACTGACTCTCTGACATTCAAAGCAGCAGCGTTTTTGATCTTTTTTTGGGTGTGTTCAGGAAAACAGTGTGACAGCTACCACTTATAAAATGAGAATAGATAGCTATCACAACTCCCTTTCTAGTTTGCTTTTCTAAGCTGAGTGGAGCAAATTAAATATTGAATTTGATTCAATCCCATGACCCCAGGCTGAGAGGCATAGCTTGATTTTTAGTAGTAAAGCAGCACCGTATGTACCTCTCACTGGAAATGTAGCAATGGAGGTACAGTAAGAATATATCCCTTCATTGTAGGCCATACCTAGACATACAGACATATACTCACATGCACACACTGGACTATGAAGATACCAGGCTGGCCTATTTGTTTGTCATGTCTCAATAAAAGTGGCGTAGATTGAGAGTTCCTCCCAGAAAGGCTGGGCGGGCGTGAAGACTGCGTAAGAGAGATATAAGGGGGCTGAGAGAGGACAGAAGCAGCAGTGCCTGCACTTTACCCTAGGAGTGTGGTCTGACCCACCTCCAGCCCACCATGGAGTGGAGAACACTTGCACTCTGTGTACTGGTCCTGGCTCTTACTTGGGGCCTTCACGTGAACGCCATTAGGGGTAAGAGTTGGTGAATGCTTTCAACAGCATATTGTTGGAATATCATCATTTTGATTCTATTTGAAAATATCAGGATATTTCTTTTTATGGACTTTCACACTACATTTATCAGTGTTAATTTAGCACTGTGCATTGTGCTAGAGAAGGTCATTTTGTGCTTTACTTCATTTTTTACTAGTTTTATTACTTTTCTTTTTTATCAGACTTATATACGAGGTAGTGGTAGCACCATATTGTTGCAGTTCTATTTGGATATATGAGTGTTTTTAATATGATGCATGCAAATATCTGGATGTTTAGGTTATGACACAAGATAATATAATACATTATCATATGGCGAACGCTATAGTATATTCAGTATTGCGAGTCTTTCACTGTGCTAGAAATGAAAAAAAAAAAAAAGCTGGGAGGTAAAACCAGAACAGCACAAAGTAATATTTCCCAGAATGTCAAATTGTTGCCACAGTTGTTGCCAAACATTTATTCTCAGAATTTTTGTATACAGTAAAATTTGTGAAGATAAAAGGGAACTAAAGGTAACCTAAACTGTACTGAAGGGAACAATATCTGATAGAATCTGCACCATCATTGACTTGTGTTCTGCGTATCCTGTTTGTGGTTGTGAAGAGCTCTTTGTATCTCATCTAGAGCTTCTCCAGAGGACAGGCTGCGTACGTTAGCTAAAGTGACCATGTAGGGGAGTGTGATGGTCTTAAGGTTCAGGGCAATCCATATGTTTCGTAGCTTTATAAACACATACAAATTTCAGATTTAAGCTATGAAAACGTTACTGTGATGTCCACAAATCCACACATTTGCTCAAATTGACTCTCTTAAGCTTGTTTTCTTTTTTCTGTTTCTCTCCCCAGCCCGTCGTAGCAACCATGTGGACAACGTCTGTAGTATGTGGGGTAATTTCCACTTTAAGACGTTTGATGGAGATGTATACCAGTTCCAGGGCGGTTGTGAGTACAATCTGGTGTCTGACTGCCATGGGCCCGTGCCGAGCTTCTCAGTGCATGTAAAAAGAGCGCAGTTGCCCAGGAACCCACAGATCACCAGAGTGCTGGTCACCATTGGAGACGTGGCCGTCGAGATCACCAAGAATCTGGTTATGGTCAACAACGATATGTAAGATTCTGGTTGTAAATCTTTGTAAATAAGAATGTAACGATATTTAATATCTTGTTTTTATATTTGTAATTTTACTTTTACACAAATTCCTATTAAGTAGAAAAAAGTCATCCCTTTCTTTCTCTCTCACATCAGTGTACAACTGCCCCACTATGAAGCAGGAGTGCTGGTTGAGCAGAGTGCTATCTACATGAAACTCGTTGCCAAGCTTGGCCTCAGCATCATGTGGAATAGAGACGACGCCGTCATGGTAACATCAATATACACAACCCACACTTTTGAATAAGTTGTATCATTTTAGCAAGGAAAAAGAGATTGAGAATCCACAAATGGCATTCTTAAACAGACGCTCAATGAAAATATATTTTACTTTGCGATGGTCATTGTTAGGCATTAATGCCACTGTAGTTGACCGGTACAGTCAGAGGAAGCTGTATTAGCACAAGTCATCAGAAACCTCGTATTATTGCATATATGCTTTGCGCAATACAGAAAAAGTCTGTTGAATGATTTTGCTCATTTCAGTTATCTTAGAGAATATAGCCTTGTAAGGGCAACATTTCAGTTAGCATGGGAGTTCTGTATTGGATTTCAGTTTGTTAATGATGCAATTTAAGTTGCTGTAATTTATCCAAATTCATGTAAATTCTAATTCACTTACATGAAAAATATTTTTTTGGAATAGAATTCAAATAATGAGTAATAATAATAATAATAATAATAATAGTAATAATGAGTGATTTTCCCTGTCTGTGAACTTTGTAATATGACTTTGTGTTTGATGTAAAACTGTGTGAATGAAAACTACAGAATGTGAAACCACTTTGTGAATGCTATATGTAAAAGAAAAGGTCTTTGAAGGAAATGAGCTCTCTCTGCTTTTGGTGGAAGACCATTTACATGCAGATCCCAAAACTGTGGCTTTGTCACGCAAGTAACATTTACAGCTCAGACACCTGGACTATTTTTAAAGCAGAGCAAAAAATTAATCTGAAGACTTTTAATTAAAAACAATTCATATTCTACAGTCTTATAAATTCTCTTTTTTCATTTTAATCTCTGCTGTTTAATTTTCTGCTTCTACACATCAGGCGGTTGTTTTATAATTTAATTCTTTCACATCGTTCATGTTATTCAGTTTTATTGTTCTGCATAAAGACAGCATGTGGGACATTTAAGTTGTGAAGCTGCTTTTTGAACAAAGTGCCTAACCTCACCTTTCTGAATTTAGGTGGAACTGGACACAAAGTATGTCAATCAAACCTGTGGACTCTGTGGAGATTTCAATGGCATTCCAATTTATAATGAGTTCCTGAGCAAAGGTGAGTTGCGCTGAAAAAGCCTTTTTGCTTGCCTAGCTAGCTTTACACAGTCTAGTGATATGTTTCTTCATTTAACGTAATCCGAGGTGGCAGAAATCCCCTCATAGAAATGTGTGTTTTTCTGGAAATATATGTTTAAAGCATAAGCATCTTTGCCACACAGCTCGTGAGATTGGTCCCATCGAATTTGGCAACAAGCACAGGGTCCACAGCCCCAACGACATCTGTGAGGATCCATATGAAGAAGATGAGTTAGCTCAAACCGAAGGGAACAAGTGCCAAGCATTTGTAAGTGCCAAACGTTTATCTGCAGTAATTAGGGTCTAAGCACTGAAGAAGTTATTGAAGTCTGAAGGTCAAGAATTGACAAAAAAATACTTAAACAGCATATGTCCACCAGTCCTTTTTCGGGTAGAGCTTAGTTCGCAAAAATGGGATTGCTTATATGGATTTTCATGAAACTGAGCAGACTCATAGCTCACACGATTGTGTAGTCCACCAAGTTTGAATTAGTCAAAAGGGGGTGCTGTAACATGAATGACTGTGTGCTAAACCAAGACAAACTATGCTTATGCTTTATATCATCACTTCTCCGTATATATGCTGTCAACATAGTAACAGGAGAAGACAAATACTTTCTTAACTTTTAATGTAAGTTCATGTAAATTTTTAAGTAAATTTGGAACATTTGGTGCATTCTTCATTTATTGGGGAAAACATGTATCGCTGTATCAATAATGCAAAGGCAGTCCGGCTGTTCTGTTTAAACTCATGCTCACCAAATGTCAAGCGTTGTATACACTGGTAATCAGAATTTCTGAATAATAATAAGTTCAGTTTATACAGCGCCTTTCACAAACCCAAGGACGCTTTACAAAGAGGAGGGAAAAAAGACCTAACACTTTGAAGAAAAAGAGTAGCAAGCAGTAAAGAGGAAAGTTTTATGTTGAACTATACAAGAAGATAGCGTAGAGCAGTAATGAAGAGATTGTGGTAGAGAGTTCCAAAGTTTGGGAGCAATAGCACTGCAAGACCTGCCACCCACTGTCGGGAGTCTTGTGTGTGGGACAGCAAGACGTCCAGTGCCAGAAGATCTGGGAGAGCGAGAGGGACAGTAGAGATGAAGGAGTTCACTAAGGTACTTAGGGGCGAGACCATGAAGAGCTTTGAAGGTTAGAAGGAGAAGTTTATACTTGATACAGGAGGATATTGGTAACCAGTGAAGCTTATGGAGGATGGGAGTGAGGTGTGCAGTGCGCTTGCTACAAGTAAGGACTCTGGCTACTGAGTCTTGAATGAACTGAAGCTGGTTGAGCAATTTAACAGGGAGACCACTGAAGAGGGAGTTGCAATAATCAATGCAGGAGAAAATAAAGGCGTTAACCTGCATTTTGCATCAACGTTGTTGAGCAGAGGCCAGAGGCGTGCGGTGTTACACAAAAGGTAGAATGCAGTGTTAGTAAGTGACTTAATATGGGGCTCAAACAAAAGTGAAGAATTAAAAATGAATCCAAGGTTTTTACTAACTTGAACTGATTTAATAGGAATACCATCAACATTCACAGTGAGATTGGAGAAGTTGGAACTAACTGAAGTTGGAAGTAACTGAAGTTGGAACTAACTGCTAACCAACTGCCCCTGTTATCACCTACAAATACATTACCTTTCAAGTCCTTGCACTGACATTGAATTAGTTTGTGGGGAATGTATGCAAAAGGTCAATGTGTATAGCACACATTAACCCCAATCATGAACAAACAAGAGAAGTTCATTCCTAAAACTCTATTTATTTTGTATCTTCAGAATGGTCCCATACTGACACATAAGACTGCACTGTAAAAAAAAATTCACTGTAAAAAATGGTAAAGAACTCTCAGCAGGGTTGCCAGGAACTTACCGCTAAATTAACGGTATCTTACTGTTGTAAGGTTTAATACCATTTTTACAAAAACAGGATATAACCATAATTAACTACATTGACAGTATAATACTGCAAGAGGTTAACAGTTCATTACCTTGTTTGATGGGGGTGCACTAACTTTCCTGACAGGTATGGATAAAAAACATTGTGTTTTTACTGCTTGTTAATCTTGCCAGAAACGTAATATGCATGAAAGCGTTCATTATTTCAGTGGACAGTTGACATGTCTGTTTAAATCATGTGACTTAAAAAATGAGAGAAAAGCAGAGTGTATCGTTATATGTGTTAATATGTCATTAAAGCTTGTTCTCTTTGGATGTCATGTCAGCATAAACATGAACTTTGACAATAATCTTCGTACAACAGTCTACAGCTATAAAATACTGTCCTGACATCACAGATGATGTGTCCCTTACGACTGAGCATCGTTGAGCAGCATTGTTGTTGTTAGGATTTCAGTTTCAAAAACCACTGACATGATCACAAAATTAAGTTGTTAGCTAATTTAATTAGTTAGTTATCAAATGCTCCCTCTCTGAATTCTCCTCTGCAAATCAAGTTCAGCCAACACAAACCAAATATAACAAAACAAGTCAAGGGCATTTGATATATTAATTAACAGATTTTAATATAAAAGGAACTTTCTGTGTCGAGTGTTGCACAGGAGGGAAATGCAAGCTTAAAGGAAAATGCTTCAGTCTTGCTAGCATTTGACGGCTAGATGTTGAAGGTGCTAAACGGACAAAAATGTTGTCTCCTACAAATGATAATCCAAACAGCTGGAAATGTTGTAGATGAGTTTTGTAATTCCTTGCATTAGTTTTACAAGAAATGGCTGTTTTTAAGGATAAAGTGATAATACCATAAAAAATAATTTACAAAATTTAAATTTATAGCCGCAATTCGTTTTACAGTAAAGAGCTGTTTTTTGTGTATAACGTGATAAAACCGTTGAAAACTGGCTGTTAATTTACAGCAATATTTTACAGTGTGTATTGGGCTTATTGGGCTTATTGGTCCTTGGATCGTGATGATTTCTGCTTGTGGCTGTATTTATTCATTTGAATTACTATTGAAAACTAAAGATCTGCCTATTATCGCTCTTAGTTTTACCCAATGTGTCATTGCAGTACTGCAGCATTATATTGCTTTACTACTTTCCCTCATGATGCAGTAAAAGCCAACTCAAAATGATTAAATTGATTACAACGACTTATTTTTGTTGTAACTAATCTTAGCCTATGAACTACTTTTTGCTTAAGGTGGTTGTTTCTCTTAAAGCATGTACGGAAAGTTTTACAGTGTAGTTCATGAGTCCTCAGCACTTGTATTCACTGTCTGCAGCGTGTGGAATGCTCAGAGCTGCTGGAGAATGAAGCCTGGTCCTCCTGTACCAGGGTTTTGAGTCCTGAGCCCTACATTCGGGCCTGCATTGTGGACAGGTGCTGGAGTCTTCCAGGGGACATTGAGGACACAGTGCCCCTCTGCACAACGTTGTCAGAGTACTCTCGCCAATGCTCCCATGCAGGGGGGACGCCACCCAACTGGAGGAAACCCAACCTCTGTGGTAAACATTTCTATTTTCATTTAGTCACTTATCAAGAACAACTTATAAAATGTGCATACAGGGTAGCCAAACTGAAACAGAGTACCCAGAGAATCTCGAAGGATTTATGACCCAACAGATGAGAGCACTGTCATACTTTATTAAATAAATGCAAATGTTTAAAGATGGTACACCGCCTGCCTGAAGAAAGTCACTCATTCAAGGGCATTTGCATATAGCGTAGGTGTAAGTGTATAATGTTTTGTTCATATCGTCTAAAATGTTAACTGAAATATCTGATGTGTTAATATATTGGCTGTAATTCCAATCATTCAGATAGTACTAATCAGTGGTGGGTAATGTGGAAAAATTCGACACAATAATTATACACAGTTCTCATGGTACACAATATGCATTGCGAAATCAAATGATATTCATACTTTTCACACAAGCCTAATTATGTACTCTTTGAAACATGTGGCTTATCAGAGTTTTCCACAGTGATTTCCACAATATGCTCAGAAAAGGATATTTTGATGTAATTAATCAAAATAATGATAAATAACATCATATTGTCCACACCCTCTAACACACATGCACATTGCTTTTGTTTTATTCACTTAGAGGTGAAGTGCCCCTTTAACATGGAGTACTCGGAGAGTGGTTCCCCTTGTGTGGACACATGCACACACAGAGACACCAGCTTACTGTGTGAGGAACACAAGATGGACGGCTGCTTCTGCCCACCTGGTCAGTCACGCACTCATAACATGACACCCACTTGGATGGGCAACTTGGTGAACAAGTCACATGAGAGACAATCAAATATATAAACTTTGTTTTTCGCTGATTGTGTTATAAAACGTTGCTAAATGTTATGTATGTGTGTTTGCGGCTGTAGGTACTGTGTTCGATGATATCTCTCAGAGGGGATGTATACCTCAGAAACAGTGTCAGTGTAAGCACAACCAGGTTTACAACCCAGGGGATATGCTGCTTCTGGAAGATAGAGAATGGTACATCAGTGGATTCTGTTTGGTTCTACTATAGTCTGTTCCACTCTATTCAATTCCTTTAAATCCTATTTTACCCTACTCTGTGCCATTGGTGAACTGTGACAATTAGAGCTAAGCCTCCAGTTTTGACCATAAATTTCTAAACTCGGTCAAAATCAAGAAAAAACCCACCTTTACGATAATATTAATTTCTGCTAGTGCACCTCTGGAATGCTTGTAGTTTGCTAGTGCTAAGCTAACAGCAAGTCACATAACCCTTTTTTGCTGTTCTACATTAAAAGCAAATGTTTGAGGCTTTGAACCATTCATGTTTTATTTGAAACTTGTATTGGACATATTAACATGAATTTTACCTTGTTAGCGTTTTACAGTGACAAGAGTCCTGGCCTAGAGCTGTTGCTGACTGAAACACATTATTTAGGTTTCCACTGCTGTTTGCTGTCAGTGATGTATCTAGGATTTTCAGAAGGCCTAGAGGGATTTTTTTGTTCTTCATCAAAAAAAAGATCAAAATAAATTAGTTGATTCCACTGTCACTTTTTAATTCCGTAATAGTTAATCTTGTGCGTCAGCTCCTGAAGTCCTACCCAGTGGGAGAGCTCGCTTGGCTTTATCTATGTAGATACCAAATTGGACAAGTTTCTGTTGTCTGTTTCAAGACTTTAACGCTTTTGTGTCCAGCCAAAAACCCAGAAATCAGGAAGACAAAACATTCTTAGCATTTAATTTGAGTTAATGTACCAAGATTTCTGTCCAAGTAAGTGGGACCATTTCTGTAGATTCATTCATCTTGAAATCTAGCAAAAAAAAATACAAAAACAGAGACACAAGGTTGTGCTCTGATAGCAGTGCTATTCTATTCTATTCTATTCTATGCTATTCTATTCTATTCTATTCTATTCTTTCATACCATAGATAGCTGTTTGTTTGCTATGGTGTCCCAGGCTGACAGGGCTGTGTGTTCTAGTGTGTGTCAGCAGGGCAAGTGGATTTGTGAGAGTTTGCCCACCCCAGGTACATGTGCTGTAGAGGAGGGATCACACTTCACCACCTTTGATGGTAAAGAATTCACCTTCCATGGAGACTGCTACTATATCATTTCCAAGGTGCGAAATTATTCTACTAGCAGTTCATTTTTAATGCTCAAACTCTTTGGAATAATGTCTTTTAAGCTATAAAAAGGCTTTTTCAAATGTCTTCCCCTGTTTCTGCAGGACTGTGAGGAGTCTAAGTTTGTTGTATTGGGGCAGCTTATTCCCTGCGTTAACACAGAAACAGACACTTGCCTGAAATCTGTTGCACTGTTACTCAACAACGACAAGAACAACGTGTGTATCCATTCTGTCAATAGTTGACAAATCTTATTACTGCATGAACAAAAATGTACTATTATTGCAAAGAACTTTCAAAAAACTAAAAATAACTACATTAACCCAGCAGTTCTGCCCTGGGATTTATTATTTTAACACATTATCTCTAGAAACATTAAATTGTGCTAAAACAGTTTTGGGAAATATTAAACAATTATAGTGACTGTGTTAATAGTTTACTTTTACTTTTCCAGGCCTTGATTATCAAAGATGATGGGACAGTGAGACACAATGGAGACTTAACACTCCCTTACACTACAGGTAAGTTCATTTCAGTATCGTCATGTAGGCTTGCAGAGTTTGACAATCAGTAGAGTTTTGTACTGAAATGTGGTAGTTTATAGTTTATTATATACAGGGAGATTCAATCGAAAGAGGCCCCGAATATTCTGTTGTAACTCCCGTTAGGATGAAGCAATCTGAACCGAAAAAATACGCTACATACCTCAACGTATGTGTAATCGATTGCATTACATGTGATGCTGGACGTGATCTTCATTTTCTGCCAGACACATGAAGGGGTAGGGGGTATGCACCCAGAAGTTGCAAACAGAGGTTAAACGTTGCGACGGCTGCCCAGCGCCTACCTCATTCAGATTGCATCGCCCCAGCGAGAATTATTACAGAATATTCGGGGCCTCTTTTGAGTGAATCTCTCTGTAGTTTATAGTTGTCAGACTCAGCTTTGCACTTTTTCAAAAAACAGGCAGTTAAATGTTAAGGAGAATAATTAAAGATATATAAAAATAGTATCACACAAAACATAAAATCAAGAAAAAAAAATAGCCCCTAACAGATGGTTTCTGGGCATCTGTCTACCGTTGAGATCATTAGTATTTGTATTTGTGTTAACGAGTTATTGGCTGGCACTTGACCCACATGTATTTGAGTAACTATATTATGTATAATGCTCTTTGTACATCAGTTAGTTCAGACCACACAATTTTTGTTCTTAAAAGCAGCAGGTCATACCTGTCCTATTTATCTGACCACCAGTTGCTAAGTAAGAGTAATGGTCGGTTTACTCTAAACTGCTGGGACTATTGTTTTTGGCAGTATTAAAAACATCGATCTGAAACAGTGTTCAGGCCTTTTTTTTTAACCTGGACAAGGATTATTGCGAATAACATTACAGCTTTCAGCTCATGCCTGCAACCAAATCACTGGAGCACACATTTTGTCACTGTATGGAAGTACGGAAGAACCATTTTATTCAGCCAAAGAGCTGATCAGCTTGCCAACCAATCAGCATGCAGTAGCTGTAATACAAGTATTTGCCACAAAGTATAGAATACCCAATACAGTTACAGTTCATGTCTTATAAGCTTTGAATGCAGTTGTGTAGCGCAAAATTCTGAGGTCCAAGAGTGAGAGTCAGGGCCAGGCATGCACTGATAGTGGCACTTCTGCACAGTCTCGGTATTGGTGTTGGGATACCGATGCCTATAAACGATACCACAACGCACCAGTAAAAGGGACTTTACAGCACTTCATCAGTGTGGGTTGACGAGCAGCAGTAACAATGCTCATGGCAAAACCTGTAACGCCAGTATGTCATGAAAAGGAAGTAGTAGTGAGATATATGGTTTGTAATTCTTCCTTAGCTATTAAATTCAGAGAAACACCAAATAATGCCAATTGCAAACAGTGTAAAACACACTAATGGGAACCCGCCTCAGCAGCTAAGCCATGCTTTTTTCAGTAATCACTCTTCACCTGCTGTGTATTCACTTACAGTCTGAGTTAATGTTAATCCAGATGGAGCAAAAAATTAATAGACATATGGAAGAACCCGCTGTTCTCTTGGGGTAATGCCTTTTGGCATATCTGCCAGCTATCTGGGCCTGTGGGGTACCACTGTTGGTCAGCTCCATCACACACTCATGGCTTTTTGCTTCAACAAAGCCAAAAAATTCACAGCTCAACAGCTACTACTGTTAGCCTGAATGAGTGTAATATTTACTAAACTTCAGCAGAGTCTGACTCTAGGAGGTGGCTTGAGAAAATTGGATGCGCAACAATGTTTAGCACCATTTTTGCAGACGCAGAGAAGACCACAGCTTTATCTGTATATTGTTCAGTTCTGTTTAACTAATTTGCACATAAAAAATGTTTGGCATTCACTTGTTAAATGTTATTTTTATTTCTAATAATGAAACAAAAATAGGTTCGTTTTAAGCCGCTGAAAGGGTTACATATTAAGGGTGTGGGGCTGATACATGGGCTAAAGTTAATAGCATCTTTGATGAGCTCGTACTAACAAGGGCGAAGCTCAAATTGTACTGACGCAGAGGAGATACAATGCAATAAACAGAACAGATAATTAGGGTTCGAAAAGCTAAGTTAGAGCTCTGAGGCTACATTAAGAAACTTCCTATCTTTTGTTGTAAGTGAAGATCTGGCAAAGTCAATAATATGATTTTTCACAATTACTGGAGCAAATCCTTTCTTAATTTAGTAAACAGATCTTACAGCATCTAGCAGTAGACTTGCACTTTTTCACTGCACTGCGTTCTTCGTTCTGCTCATGTGCCACATGTGGATGTTTCTGTGACATGTCTGTGTGGGGTTGAAGGAAAGTTCATGCAATTCATGTAGGACACCAACACACTGCAACTTTTTGCCACACAGCATTCGGTCTGTTGGTGTAAAACAAAAGTGACTGATATAATACTGGAAATGCTGTTATTAGCTTTTCCTCCATGCACATGGCGCATATCTGACAAGGTTGATAATCTGTTATAAACTATGATGTCTGTTAACAAGCAACCAGTGATTTGCTTGCAGATGAAATGTAAATACACTAACAAAATAGCGTAAACAATGTAATTTAGTTGGCTAGACAGCTGCTGTTGTAAAAAAGATGCCAAAACAAAACTAAAGTTCAACAAACCGGAAGTTAGAAAAGTGAAGAATATGACAGCTCTATCTCGTTCTTTAACTGGGCGTCGCTGCTTCCTGGTTTCAGTTTCCATTTCCAAGCCATGCTAATGTTATTCCTCCTAATAAACTTGTGTTAAGCTCTGTCTTCTCATTATTTACCACTATTGCTGCAATATTTTATCTGGCACATTTTCATCAACTTTCATACATACAGATAATAAGAAGGAATGTGGCGAACAGGGGCTTTATTACAGAAACTTCCTATCTTTTTGTCTTAACTTAAGATCTGACAGATCGAGATAAGATTTTTCACAAATTCGTATTACAGAAGCAAATCTTATCTTGCAGCATCTTTTCTTATCTCAAGTCAGGAAATCTTAACTTTCTTGATTTAAGTCAACAATCAACTGTCATGTCTGTTACCTAGCAACCGACCATAAGCTCACAGCTAAATCTAGTAAACACATAATCAAGTTAGCTAGTCAGACAGCTAATGTTAGCTACTGTTACTGATGTAAGCCACTCCGCAGTTTCAGTTTCATTTCCCCAAACGCTTTAGCCGAGCACGCTAACATTATTCCTCCTAATAAACAGACACGCGTTCAGCTCTGTCTCCTCGTTATTCGCCACCATTCCTGTAATATTTTATCTGATGAGTTTTTATCAAACATTAGCACACAAAGATAATAAGAGGGGACATGTGTGCAGCGCCTGAGTTCTTTAACGCTGTTAAAAAAAACGTCAAAGCACCGTTTTGAATGTAGATAAATGTAGCGTCATTATGCTACTTATAGAACTTATGAACAGTGCTGCCTGTCACTGCATAAAACAGTAGAAACAGATGATTAAAACAGAAGTTAAGACAGCTCTGGGGTTGTCTGTAACTGTTGTTCTGTAATAGCTTCTGTCCTAACTTCAGTCTTAACTGAAGTTGCCATGACAACAAAGCACATAAGATATGATCTCAACTCAGTCTGAATTTTTTTAACTACAGATTTAGGAAAAAAAGAATTTTCAAAAGTGAAATGACCATTTTGCAGTATAAAAAATATGTCACTTGTTTTACTGCCTGTCACAGTTGCTTAAAAAAGAAAATCTTGTATTTTCAGTAGTGTCGCTAACAGTAAAAACAAAAGGTTAACACAGAAGTTAGGACACTGCTGGAGATGTCCTACATTTTGTAATTTTTTTTTTATGTTTGTTCAGTTATGATGCTACTGCAATACTAATTTCTTATCTAGAGTTAATGATGTATAATATAACATAATAACATAAAAAAGATGCATAATAAGATATTAAAGTTGTAATTTTCATTCTGTAAATATATTGTCTTAAATAAAATTCCAACTCGTGATAGTGACTAAAAACATAAGCTAAGATTTCAGGTAAGGATGTTTTTGTAATACAGTCCCTGAATTTAAATTTTGGAAGGTTTCACCTCCAAATGAATTGGTCAGTGAATTGATAATTAACAGTGGTCTCCTCGAAAGACAACAATGAGAGACCCTCACAACAAACAGAGTGGTGTATCTCCAGTACAGGTTTAATTTTTGACACCTTATTTTATTTGTTTTTCTGATATTTCAGTACTGTATTGAATTTTTTACACTTAGTATATTTTATGTAATGAAATCAAGTCTTATGACAAGTCAAATGTCTAATGACTGTGGAATTACAAGGAGCTTATTCATTGTTCCATATAAACAAATAACAAGTGGCAGAAAAAATTGACCATTGACAATAACCACTGTATACAGCTACAGTGTGCGCAGAAGTCAATTTAACGAATGATTTGGCTATGCAGAGTTACTTATTCAAATACAGATGTTGTTCATTTGCCTTGTGTGCAGAATCTCGTGCTGGATGTTTACTGTTGTTTAACTAGCTGGTGATATGAAGCATAATAGCATCACTGTAGAGCAACTTTCTGGACTGTCAGTTTTACAGTGTTGAGATCAGACAGCAGCTAAACCTCAACTCCATTGCATAAAACCTTTGGTCATCTGTTTGACAGCTAACCTCACAGCGTTCAGACCATCGTCATTCCACATCATGCTACAGACGTCTTTCGGGCTGCAGATGCAGTTGCAACTGGTTCCACTCATGCAGCTCTACATCACTCTGGATCACAGCTTCCAGACCAAGACCTGTGGTCAGTGTTTGTCTACTTTATAATTGGTAGAAGAACCTGAAGTCAACAAATGAAATGGATGAAGAAGTAGATAAGATTTGCATACTTTACTAGAATAGATCTACTTTATATCAGTTCTTAGATTAATAAATTAATAAATCTTGGGCCAACAGCGAATAATATAAATTCTAGGGCTTTTGAAAGATGAATATTTCAACACTAAATGTTTTTTCCACTCTTACGTGCTTGTGCTCTTATCTCTGTGGGACGCAGGTCTGTGTGGGAACTTTAATTTCGTGCTGTCTGATGAGCTGAAGACTCCACAGGGTTTGGTGGAAGGGACTGCAGCGTCCTTTGGGAACTCCTGGAAGGCTCAGTACAACTGCCCTGACCGCAGTGAAAGGCTGGATGACCCCTGCAGCTACAGCATAGACAGTGGTGAGAAATGAAACGTGTTCTCCAAGGGCTTAAATTTCCAGAGACTCTCTTTGTATTTCACCAGAATTTTAGAAGACGCTTTAAAGATAAGTTACAAGCTAATCTTCTGCTTTGAAGAGTTCTGCAGTTGCAGAGTGAAAGAAAAAAAATGTTTATTAATGTTTAATAATGTTTTTAGAGAGCTATGCAGAGCATTGGTGCTCCAAGCTGAAGGAGAAGGATGGCCCCTTTGCTAAATGTCACTCTGCTGTTAACCCAGAAGGCTACTACAAGGTAACTTAGACAAGTTTCTCCGGAAACAATGGCTTAGATTATTAAACTGGGATCACTTAGACAGTTGAATTCATATATATGAAATAGCTGACACTTAAAATCATACTTAATGTTATCCTTGCTGGTCAACTACTCTATAATTGTTCTATTGTACATGCAGAGGTGCAAGTACTCAAGCTGTACATGTGAGAAGAGTGAGAACTGCCTGTGTGCTGTCTTCTCCTCCTATGCGCGAGCATGCACAGCAAAAGGAATCTTTGTGAAAGGCTGGAGAGACACCGTGTGCGGTAGGATTACTCAGAACAAGTTTTTTATAAGAGATGAATACGTTTTGTATGGTCTTAATTATGCAATTATGTAATTAATTAATAAAAGACATAATTAGTAATGTAATAAACTACATTTGCATTTGATGTATATGCTGTATTGACAAGTTCAAGACCAAAATGTCTGTATTTGTTTCAAGTTTATCAAAATATGATAAAAACATGGCAAAAAGGATGGTGTATCAGGTCTCACAACAAGATTGTGTGCACAACAGCAAGGTTTTATCTAATTCAAACTGTAATAAAATCCTTTTTTGACAGAATTTGTTTCAATGACCTACAAGTGAAAAATAATTAATATAAAATTTCACCAGACCTGTTTATTAGCAGCAGTAACTGTGATTTCTGTGGATTAATTTGTTTTCTCTTTTAAACATAGGGACGTACACTGAGCACTGCCCTGCTACACAGACGTTCTCCTACCTGCTACAGGGCTGCCAGCGTACCTGTGATACCCTCAGCTTGGAGCGTCAGGGCTGCAGCACTGACTATGTACCTGTGGATGGGTGTGCCTGTCCAGATGGGCTGTATGAGAATGAGGAAGGTGTTTGTGTGTCTATGGACAAATGCTCCTGTTACCACAGTGGAGAGCGCATTAAACCTGGCAAGTCTATCAACATTAGAAATGAGCACTGGTAAGTGGTTCAGAATAAATCTGTAAAGGTTGATGTGAGTAATTCAGAAATTCATTTACAATTTAGAATGTAAATAAAGCCTTTAAATATCTGTGAGAGTCTAATCCATCTCCTCCCATAGTGTTTGTACAAATGGAAAGCTCAACTGTCATGCCTGGAAGCCCCCCATTACAGGTGAATAAGATTTGCCTTTACCCAAGAATAGGAGAACTGAACCAGAGTGTTGTGCTCGTTACAGTTTGGTCGGTGGTTACTATGGAAATGCAATACAATTTGTATGCTTCTTTACTTTTTGTTTTGCAGACTGTCGTGCTCCAAAGGTCTACTTTAACTGCAGTGAGGCAGGGCCAGATGAGCATGGGCTGGAGTGTGCCAAAACATGCTCAAGCAAGACCATCGACTGTGTAACTATCACTCACATTTTTCTCCTGTATCTCCAAAATACAGCATTTTTCTCTTGGCTTTGTTTTCACATTAAACAAATGCATGGAGTATCAAAGGTTGCACCTGTTAAGCCTCTGTAATGAGCTAAAAGTGATGCTGGTTTGGATTCCATACAAAGCACGTTCTTTTGTTATTTTCTTACAGTGTTTCTTACAACTGTACTTACAACTAGTTTCTGCATTTGTACCATTCTGTTTTGTAACGTGTATCCACTCTAAAAATTGGTTTATCAGTTTAGTCATAACAATTTATCAATTTATCAATTAAAACATTCATTGAAACAACGCAAAGCAAAATTTCAGTTTACGGTAGATGAACAGAATTAATTTTTCACATCAGTACAAACCTCAAAAAACACTTCAAATCAACTTCTGCTCTGTTTCACTTTTTGCAGTTTACATAATCAGCCAAAGACTAACAAACTAATAACATTACAAAACAAGACTACAAAACAAATGACTCTTTATTGCTTTTCTTAGAATTACATAAAATAGTGAATAGTTTTGGTGTTTTTCAGGTGACCATGCTGTAGAGTGTTTAGGGGATAAAATGGACTGATGTGCTGGATGTGTGTTTCTGCAAAGAGGAGTGAACATGAAAAGCACTAAAAAATGCTTTACCAATTGTAAAAACGTAATAATTCTTTCATTATTCTATGCCTCAAATGTCTCACCTTTCCTCTTTTCTCAGTACCTTGCAGATTGTGCATCTGGTTGTAAGTGTCCCTCAGGCCTTCTCGATGATGGTCGTGGTCACTGTGTTGAAGAGGATAACTGCCCTTGCAAACATAATGGCCATTTCTATCATGCTGGTACTAAAATACCAGATGAGTGCAACACATGGTACGTGTTCAATGCTTTATGACTCTGTCATTAAAAAGAATTATGATGTATAGAAAAAGACTAGAGGATGCTTTTAGAACCAAGAACCCAAAGAGACTCTGGGACACTATGAAGAATATGACAGGGATGTTGTCCACAAGGAAACCAATTCCAGTGGAAAATGACTTTGAATTCTCAAATTTATTGAATGGTTATTTTACAAGGTTTGAGATTGAAACAGTGGACACTGAGGATAAGTGTACCGATATTCTTAGGACTATTATACCAACTAGCTTAGACAGGATAATAATTACTGTAGATGATGTACTACGCACATTTAGATGCAGTAATGTAAGAAAAGCTACGGGTCCAGAAAATATTAGTGCTTTTGTTCTAAAATCATTAGCACAGGAACTGGCTCCGGTTTGGCAAGCAGGCTTCCAGCTGTCTGTAAATACACACACTATTCCTAGGATATGGAAGACATCTCATATTACACCAGTCCCTAAGAAATCATGTCCTAGGAATGCAAGGATTCTCATCCAGTAGCAGTCACATTAGTTGTTATGAAATCTTGTGAGCAGATCGTAGTTCAGCATCTTACTAAGGCAATGAATGGTAAATTAGACTCATATCAGTTTGCTTACAAACAAGACCGTAGTACCGAAGATGCAGTAACTACATTGGTCCACTTTGTGTTAAAACATTTGGACAAGCCTCATACATACGCTAGAGCTCTTTTTCTGGATTTTTCTTCTGCATTTAACACTATCAGACCTGATATCCTACTGTCAAAAATAGTTGAATTCCATATTTATCCTTATCTTATCTACAGGTATAGGAATTTTCTTAATAATAGAGTACAGCATGTGAAAGTAAATAAAGCACTATCACTGCCTGTTATAACAAATGTTGGAGCACCACAAGGATGTGTAAGTTCTCCACTGCTGTTTACATTGTATACAAATGATTGTAAAGCTCAGGAACCAAATCATTTTATTATTAAATATTCTGATGATTCTGTGTTATTAGCTTTGTTGACAGATGATGATGATATTGATCTATTTCAGCAGGGTGTTGATGGGGCTAGTAGATTGGTGCAATCAGAATGATCTTATTATTAGTACAAAGAAGACAGAAGAGGTCATTTTTGGTCTCTCCCCTGATTCATATCCACCTCCTTTGAGAATTCATGATCAGGAAATTAAACAGGTTACGTCATATAAATACCTTGGTGTACACATAGATGCAATGCTATCATGGAATAGTCATACTGATTATCTCTGTAGTAAGGTACAGCAATGTATTTATTTTCTCCATAGGTTAAGATCGTTTGGTGCCAGTAATCAGATTTTAGTTTTGTTTTATACTACAGTAATCCAGAGTGTGATGCAATACTGTGCGACAGCATGGTATAGTTGTCTCTCTGTGGAACTAAAGACAAGATTGTTTAGACTGATACAAATCTGTTCTAAGGTTGTAGGTCAGCCTCTGGAGGAAGGTTTTATAATGGCCTGGAGGAAAAGTATAGAAAGATTAGCTTGTGGTATTTTGTCTGATCCATTTCATGTGCTGTATGGTGAATATAATATTTTGCCTTCAAAAAGACATTTTAGAGTACCAAAGTTAAGATTCCTTCACCCCTCAGTCAACTGTGATACTTAACCAAATGTGTGAACTGTTTAGATGAGTACACAGGTAGTAACTCACACATATTGGGTTGTAGGGTGTATAGTGGAATCAAGTAATGGTGTAAAGTGTATTGTTGTGGTTTATTGTAATGTTCGTGTTTGTCTTATTGTTTGTCATCTTTCCCTCCCCCTACCCCTCATTTTCCTTTGGAGCTGCTATGATTCAAGAAAAAATTCAGAGGAATCAGACAATAAAGTGTATTGTGTCGTATCGAATTGTATTAAGAATGGTTGAGAATGTTTGTGTTTTATGTATTGTGAGTATAAATTCAAGCCTATGTGAACTGAAAAATTGCTTATTTCTGTTCACCCTCCTAGCATCTGTAAACAGGGTGAGTGGGTCTGCACAGAAAAAAAATGCCCTGGTTCCTGCACTATCTATGGGAGCGGCCATTACAACACTTTTGATAAGCAGACTTTTGGCTTCAGTGGAGATTGTGATTACATTGCTGTTCAGGTACCCAGTACTGCACTATTTCAACCAGTCCTCTGCCAATTATATTTAACTATACAATTGAAACATTTGAAAATATTTCAGTAGTTACTGTTAGATCACCAGGGCACTATTCAGTGGATTATTCTGAATGAAATAAAACTGATTAGTTGCCAACTATAAAAATTATTTTCTTTTTTTAAATATTGATCCCTTAAACTAGATTCAGACTTATATCCCTTCTTTTTATACCTTAAATACCTTATATCAGGGGTGCCAAACACCAGTCTTGCAGGGCCAGAGTCCAGCACAGTTATTTTCCAACATAAACACACCGGATTCAACTCAACAGAAAAAGACACCAAACTGTTCTGGACCTTGGGCCTCTGGTGCCACAGTGCACAACTCCTGCCTCCCCTTAAATTTCATAGTAGTTACAAACTACATAATAAACCTTAAGAATTATAACTAAATAATAAGCCTTTTGTTTAAGGGGATAACCTGGGTCAAAATACAGGAAAAAAGTACTTAAATTAGGGAAATTGTTTAACCAGAAAGTGTGTTGAATGATCATAGAACAAACATAACATTGGGACAAAAAAATATTTTTCAAATTGTAACTTTGCAAGAAACATTCAGTTTTACAGAGGACATCTGGAGTTTTTTTAATAATGAAAAAAAAGAAAAAACTGAGATATGGGGCTCTGATCTTACAGTGACAATAAGCTAATTTGATAGAAATAGAGTGACCTCTTATTTGCCTAACTTCTGAATACCTTTTCCGTGTTGTCTTAAAGAACAAGTGTGGAAATAAGACAGGTACGTTCCATGTGATCACAGAGAATGTACCCTGTGGGACGACAGGAACCACATGCTCCAAATATGTTCGGATTCTTCTGGGAGTAAGGACAAATATTCTTCTGATCTTTTATGTATACAGTCATACAGTGTATGCAGTGCTCTGTCCTGCATAAGTGCTCTTAAATTACTACCGTACAAACATTTAGAACTACCTGTCATGTAAGTAATTGTTATTCAATAATGTAAACCAATGGTTTATTCACAGTTTTGAAGATTTTAGGAACAGCAGGAAGTTATGACATGACAAAAGAGTAAATATTATTAAAAATTAAGTCATTTATAAATGTCACAAAGTTACTATGAATAGCTGTGTAATCAGTGAGATTTAGTCACAGCTTTTAAATATGAGGCATTCTGGACTTTAATAGTATTGTTATAGTAAATCCTCAGTGCTGCACAGCTTTTTTTCAGTTATTATGGAATCATCTACTGCTCTGTTCATCACTGAACACTGTGTAAAACCTGTAGAACACAATGATTTTGTTATGTGTCTGCAATAAAATTGCTTTTATTTTACTGAAAAAAAATACAAATACCAAACTTTTAACTCTTTTTTACCTCTTTTGAAGTCTTACTTTTTAGGAGTTTCACATACAAACATTTAAGGTTTCTGATACCATTTGACATGCTATCTCAACAGAGTATAGAGTTTTACTTGGTTGATGGCAAAGTTGAAGAAAGACAGCTGGACACTGGGCCACTGATTCAGTATACAAAGAGAATTGTGGGTCTTTATGTGGTCATTGAGTCTGACATTGGCCTGACTGTGTTTTGGGACCGTAAAACTACAGTTCGCATCATTCTGCAACCACAGCATATGGTGAGTAAAATATACTAAGCCCATGGCCGTCAGATGAAGCTCTTTTTTATATGCAAAGATGTAGTTACATCTAGAGGAGAAAACAACCTTGTAAACCCACAAAAAACACAGAGGCAAAATTAACACAAATCTCTTTTACCAGCTCTTTTAGATTTTCTTTATGTTCATAGCACCACAGAGGAAACTTAATCCAATGATTCTGGATTCTGCATTTTCCATTTTATAGGGAGAGGTTTGTGGACTGTGTGGAAATTACAATGGAAATGGCAAAGATGACTTCACCACTCAAGGTCAGCTGCAAGTTTCTGACATTGTGGAGTTTGTAAACAGCTGGAAAGTGAAAAGTGATTGTCCCGATGCTAAGCCAGACTTTGATCCATGTTCTCAAACACCCAACCGCCACACTTGGGCAAAAATGCAATGCAGCATCATTACAGGCGACACTTTCAAAAACTGCCATAGAAAGGTACTGTAGAAAGAATTGAATGTTTCTCTGAAATACCATTATGTACATAGAATTCCACTGATTCGTAAAGTTTATGTAAATATGTCTTTGAATATATGTACATTCATATATATATATATATATATATATATCTATACAAATACTTGCAGGTGGATCCCAAGCCTTATTACGACAACTGTGTGAAAGACTCGTGTGCCTGTGACACTGGCGGTGACTGTGAGTGTTTCTGTACTGCTGTGGCAGCGTATGCTCAAGCCTGTAATGAAGCTGGAGTCTGTGTGGCCTGGCGAACACCAGAGATCTGCCGTAAGCATCCTCCAGACTGTGTTCCATATGAATAGATGATTAAATATTGATTTGGGCTATAAATCAAAACATTGTGGTGATTATAGTTTCAGCCCATAACAATATACCTGTACTTCTGCATGATTTAATATAGTTAATTGATGTGAAATATTTTTAGCTGTTTGTCATCATGTCCGCTTTCATTTTTTATCAGTCGCAAAGTGGAGGTTTTTATTTCAAACATTAAAGAAAGCAATACGTTTCTTGTCTATAATTTACAGGCAGAGCTCTAAGCTAAACTTAGAGCTTTAAACAGACATTGAATATGTAGGAATTCTGGTTTGTAAACAATGGCTTAAGAACCTATTACAAAGTTTATTTTGTCTCACAAATGGGTAAAACAGTTGCATGTTGTAATGTCAAAAGGCTTCAAAGAAAATCAATAACGATGATATACCATAAATCAGATGGAACATATCCTTAATGAAAAAGAGCTTTACAGAAGTCTGATTGCAATGTTTTCTCCCAACAGCTGTGTTCTGTGACTACTACAATGATCCAGATGAGTGCACATGGCACTACAGTCCCTGTCACACACCATGCTACAAAACCTGCCTGAACCTTGACGGTGTTTGCCTTAACCCGTTACCCAACCTGGAGGGTGAGTCATTATAATACCGATTGACTTTATGGCACCTTAGTTTATATTTAAGTCAGTGTCACTGGGGAGAGTCTTGCACTTGTGAGTTCTTCCTGCCCTAACAGGTCTGATTCAGCTCAAATACCTAATGAGCTGAATCAGGCATGTTACAGCAAGCCAAATACAAACAAAATGAAAAGCAGGGATCCCACATATCTGGGACAGAGTACAAATGAAATAATCCTATTCTATTAAATTAATTCATATGTATAACCCAGATTGTAGAGTGCACATGGGTGATTAGTTGTTGTTTGTATTGTACTGCATATTGACAGTGCTTCTGTTGTGTAGGTTGTTATCCAGTGTGCCCAGAGGACAAACCCATTTTTGATGAGTGGAATCAGACATGTGTTGCTGAATGTGATAACAGAACTACAACAACTACACAAATACCAACAACTGAAAGCACCACAGGACCGACTACCACCCCCTCCACCCCCTACACAACAACTACACAAATAACAACAACTGAAAGCACCACAGGACCGACTACCACCCCCCCAACCCCCTACACAACAACCACACAAATAACAACAACTGAAAGCACCACAGGACCGACTACCACCCCCCCAACCCCCTACACAACAACTACACAAATAACAACAACTGAAAGCAGCACCTCTGTCACTACCCCAGGACCGACTACCACCCCCCCAACCCCCTACACAACAACTACACAAATAACAACTGAAAGCACCACCTCTGTCACTACCCCAACACCAACTACTACCCCCTCAACCCCCTACACAACAACTACTACATCGATAACCACAACCTCACCATGCATTATCTGTCATTGGTCTGAGTGGTTTAATGTCTATAATCCCGTTTCAGGAGGATACAGTGATTTAGAAACATATGAAAATATCAAGGTTGCTGGAAACATAATATGTGATAAACCAGAAGATATTGAGTGCAGAGCTGTAGCACAACCTGATTTAGCTTTTGATGATTTTATACATAGTACAGGTCAGGTAGCGCAGTGCAATGTTTCACTTGGTTTGGTGTGTAAAAAGCAGGAACAGTTACACCGTCCATACAAATGTTTTGACTATGAAATTAGAGTATACTGTTGTCATGATATTTGTACTACTTCGACAGCAACTACACAAATAACAACAACTGAAAGCAGCACCTCTGTCACTACCCCAGAACCGACTACCACCCCCCCAACCCCCTACACAACAACTACACAAATAACAACGACTGAAGGCACCACCTCTGTCACTACCCCAGAACCAACTACCACCTCCACAACCCCCTACACAACAACTACACAAATAACAACGACTGAAAGCAGCACCTCTGTCGCTACCCCAGAACCAACTACCACCTCCACAACCCCCTACACAACAACTACACAAATAACAACGACTGAAAGCAGCACCTCTGTCGCTACCCCAGAACCAACTACCACCCCCTCAACCCCCTACACAACAACTACACAAATAACAACAGCTGAAAGCACCACCTCTGTCACTACCCCAGAACCGACTACCACCCCCTCAACCCCCTACACAACTACACAAATAACAACAACTGAAAGCAGCACCTCTGTCACTACCCCAGAACCGACTACCACCCCCTCAACCCCCTACACAACAACTACACAAATAACAACGACTGAAAGCACCACCTCTGTCACTACCCCAGAACCAACTACCACCCCCCCAACCCCCTACACAACAACTACACAAATAACAACGACTGAAAGCAGCACCTCTGTCGCTACCCCAGAACCGACTACCACCCCCTCAACCCCCTACACAACAACTACACAAATAACAACTGAAAGCAGCACCTCTGTCACTACCCCAAAACCGACTACCACCCCCCCAACCCCCTACACAACAACCACACAAATAACAACGACTGAAAGCACCACCTCTGTCACTACCCCAAAACCGACTACCACCCCCTCAACCCCCTACACAACAACTACACAAATAACAACAACTGAAGGCACCACCTCTGTCACTACCCCAAAACCGACTACCACCCCCTCAACCCCCTACACAACAACTACACAAATAACAACAACTGAAGGCACCACCTCTGTCACTACCCCAAAACCGACTACCACCCCCTCAACCCCCTACACAACAACTACACAAATAACGACTGAAAGCACCACCTCTGTAGCTACCCCAGAACCAACTACCACCCCCTCAACCCCCTACACAACAACTACACAAATAACAACGACTGAAGGCACCACCTCTCTTACTACCTACTCAGTTGTGACTCGTTCAACCTCTAGGCAGACAGCCTCACAAGCAATAAATACTACAAGTTCTGAGAAACCAACAACGTCATCAACCTCAACCACAAATACATCAGCCACAACCACAACTACGCCAGCCACAATTACACAAATAACAACAACTGAAAGCACCACCTCTGTCGCTACCCCAAAACCGACTACCACCTCCCCAACCCCCTACACAACAACTACACAAATAACAACAACTGAAAGCAGCACCTCTGTCGCTACCCCAGAACCGACTACCACCCCCCCAACCCCCTACACAACAACTACACAAATAACAACAACTGAAAGCAGCACCTCTGTCGCTACCCCAGAACCAACTACCACCCCCCCCAACCCCCTACACAACAACTACACAAATAACAACAGCTGAAAGCAGCACCTCTGTCGCTACCCCAGAACCAACTACCACCTCCCCAACCCCCTACACAACAACTACACAAATAACAACTGAAAGCACCACCTCTGTCACTACCCCAGAACCGACTACCACCCCCTCAACCCCCTACACAACAACTACACAAATAACAACAACTGAAAGCAGCACCTCTGTCACTACCCCAAAACCGACCCCCTCAACCCCCTACACAACAACTACACAAATAACAACAACTGAAAGCAGCACCTCTGTCACTACCCCAAAACCGACCCCCCTCAACCCCCTACACAACAACTACACAAATAACAACAACTGAAAGCAGCACCTCTGTCACTACCCCAAAACCGACCCCCTCAACCCCCTACACAACAACTACACAAATAACAACGACTGAAGGCACCACCTCTCTTACTACCTACTCAGTTGTGACTCGTTCAACCTCTAGGCAGACAGCCTCACAAGCAATAAATACTACAAGTTCTGAGAAACCAACAACGTCATCAACCTCAACCACAAATACATCAGCCACAACCACAACTACGCCAGCCACAATTACACAAATAACAACAACTGAAAGCACCACCTCTGTCGCTACCCCAGAACCAACTACCACCCCCCCAACCCCCTACACAACAACTACACAAATAACAACTGAAAGCACCACCTCTGTCACTACCTCAGAACCGACTACCACCCCCCCAACCCCCTACACAACAACTACACAAATAACAACAACTGAAAGCAGCACCTCTGTCGCTACCCCAGAACCGACTACTACCCCCCCAACCCCCTACACAACAACTACACAAATAACAACAACTGAAAGCAGCACCTCTGTCGCTACCCCAGAACCAACTACCACCCCCCCAACCCCCTACACAACAACTACACAAATAACAACAACTGAAAGCAGCACCTCTGTCGCTACCCCAGAACCAACTACCACCTCCCCAACCCCCTACACAACAACTACACAAATAACAACTGAAAGCACCACCTCTGTCACTACCCCAGAACCGACTACCACCCCCTCAACCCCCTACACAACAACTACACAAATAACAACAACTGAAAGCAGCACCTCTGTCACTACCCCAGAACCGACCCCCTCAACCCCCTACACAACAACTACACAAATAACAACAACTGAAAGCAGCACCTCTGTCACTACTCCAGAACCGACCCCCTCAACCCCCTACACAACAACTACACAAATAACAACAACCGAAAGCAGCACCTCTGTCACTACCCCAGAACCGACCCCCTCAACCCCCTACACAACAGCTACACAAATAACAACTGAAAGCACCACCTCTGTCACTACCCCAGAACCGACTACCACCCCCTCAACCCCCTACACAACAACTACACAAATAACAACAACTGAAAGCAGCACCTCTGCTGTCACTACCCCAGAACCGACCCCCTCAACCCCCTACACAACAACTACACAAATAACAACAACTGAAAGCAGCACCTCTGTCACTACCCCAGAACCAACTACCACCCCCCCAACCCCCTACACAACAACTACACAAATAACAACTGAAAGCAGCACCTCTGTCACTACCCCAGAACCGACTACCACCCCCTCAACCCCCTACACAACAACTACACAAATAACAACAACTGAAAGCAGCACCTCTGCTGTCACTACCCCAGAACCGACCCCCTCAACCCCCTACACAACAACTACACAAATAACAACTGAAAGCAGCACCTCTGTCACTACCCCAGAACCAACTACCACCCCCCCAACCCCCTACACAACAACTACACAAATAACAACTGAAAGCAGCACCTCTGTCACTACCCCAGAACCGACTACCACCCCCTCAACCCCCTACACAACAACTACACAAATAACAACAACTGAAAGCAGCACCTCTGTCACTACCCCAGAACCAACTACCACCCCCTCAACCCCCTACACAACAACTACACAAATAACAACGACTGAAAGCAGCACCTCTGTCACTACCCCAAAACCGACTACCACCCCCCCAACTCCCTACACAACAACTACACAAATAACAACGACTGAAAGCACCACCTCTGTTGCAACCCCAGAACCAACTACCACCCCCTCAACCCCCTACACAACAACTACACAAATAACGACTGAAAGCACCACCTCTGTCGCTACCCCAGAACCGACTACCACCCCCTCAACCCCCTACACAACAACTACACAAATAACAACAACTGAAAGCAGCACCTCTGCTGTCACTACCCCAAAACCGACTACCACCCCCCCAACCCCCTACACAACAACTACACAAATAACAACGACTGAAAGCACCACCTCTGTTGCTACCCCAAAACCGACTACCACCTCCCCAACCCCCTACACAACAACTACACAAGTAACAACAACTGAAAGCAGCACCTCTGTCACTACCCCAGAACCGACCCCCTCAACCCCCTACACAACAACTACACAAATAACAACAACTGAAAGCAGCACCTCTGTCACTACCCCAGAACCAACTACCACCCCCCCAACCCCCTACACAACAACTACACAAGTAACAACTGAAAGCACCACCTCTGTCACTACCCCAGAACCGACTACCACCCCCTCAACCCCCTACACAACAACTACACAAATAACAACAACTGAAAGCAGCACCTCTGTCACTACCCCAGAACCAACTACCACCCCCTCAACCCCCTACACAACAACTACACAAATAACAACGATTGAAAGCACCACCTCTGTCACTACCCCAGAACCAACTACCACCCCCTCAACCCCCTACACAACAACTACACAAATAACGACCGAAACCACCACCTCTGTCGCTACCCCAGAACCGACTACCACCCCCTCAACCCCCTACACAACAACTACACAAATAACAACGACTGAAAGCACCACCTCTGTCGCTACCCCAAAACCGACTACCACCTCCCCAACCCCCTACACAACAACTACACAAATAACAACAACTGAAAGCAGCACCTCTGTCGCTACCCCAGAACCAACTACCACCCCCCCAACCCCCTACACAACAACTACACAAATAACAACTGAAAGCAGCACCTCTGTCACTACCCCAGAACCGACTACCACCCCCTCAACCCCCTACACAACAACTACACAATTAACAACAACTGAAAGCAGCACCTCTGTCACTACCCCAGAACCGACCCCCTCAACCCCCTACACAACAACTACACAAATAACAACTGAAAGCAGCACCTCTGTCACTACCCCAGAACCGACCCCCTCAACCCCCTACACAACAACTACACAAATAACAACAACTGAAGGCACCACCTCTGTCACTACCCCAGAACCAACTACCACCCCCTCAACCCCCTACACAGCAACTACACAAATAACAACAACTGAAAGCACCACCTCTGTCACTACCCCAGAACCGACTACCACCCCCTCAACCCCCTACACAACAACTACACAAATAACAACGACTGAAAGCACCACCTCTGTCACTACCCCAGAACCGACTATCTCAACCACAAATACATTAGCCACAACCACAACTACGCCAACCACAACTACGCCAACCACAGCATCAACTATCACTACCCCAAAGCCTGGCTGCCCAACATGGGACGTCGGCGTGAGTAGCATATTGTACAAAAAAGCTGTGGCTTTTCAGATCACTCTGGTTAGACCGCATCTGTGATTGATTTTGTGTTCTAATGTTTCCCTTCCTTCAAAATAAAAATAAACCCCAAATACCTTAGATAGAATCTAAAAATATAGAATTTTGAAATTTTGCAGATACATTTTTCTCAAATAAATACATTCTTTTCTGATATGTTTTAAATTAAGTCAAAGAAAACTATGTCACTTAAGAAAACTTATACATTTACTTGTTCCTTTAAATTTCAGTCTTGGTAGTTTGTGGTCATTTTCCCAAAGCTGCAGTTTATGAAGAAGCTTATTCAATGTAGAGTGATTAAGTTGATAGTGTAAGACATCTTGAGAGGATGATATACTGTTGGTCAGGGTTTTCCAACCCTAGTCCTGGTGATCTGCCACCCTGTGGAGTTTAGTTTTACCTACACTAAGTACCTGACACTAATATTCAAATGCTTCTGATTGCCTTGTTAGATAATGGCATGAGCTAAACTGTGCAGGTTACTAGATCATTACGTCGCATGACATTAGATATTTATTTAAAAAGAAAGAGCTTAGAGTAATACATTTTATTACTGCATAAATTGAACTGTATGCTGCAACGTTTTTGCAATGATATGGAATTCAAATAGATATTTACACTAAAACTAATGCATCTGATCCAGACAATGAAGGACTTCTGAAGATGTTAAATAGCTGAAGAAAATGTGACAGATTGTCGCGAGATCTAGACTCCCAGTAAGGCAGAACTCCAGGACCAGGGTTGATATAACAAGGTTGTTTTATAACATGCTAAACAGTTGAAGTATTGAGCATTTTATTTAGGAATTTAACATTTAAAATATGAAAACACTTATGCATTTTACAAATTTAAAAATTCATTGCATTCAGTGAAAAATGATTCCAATAGACAATTTTTCATTGTTCTTGTCTTTTATTCTTGGCCATACCAAAGTAAGATCAAATTTACAACAGAATCAATTTAGCTTCAATTTTAGAGACAAATAGTATTGTACTGAGTGAAAATGCATAAATCTACTTTAATATTGCTATTGCTGTATTTTTGGTGACAGACAAATGAGACCTTTGAGATCTGTAACTGCACCTTGGCCCGGTGCATTGAGGACAACATCATTGAGATTATCCCATATGAGTGTCCACCTCTTCAGAATATCACATGTTCAAATGGGAGGAATCCAGTCGAAGGGTTTGATGATAACCACTGCTGTAAAGAAAATGTCTGTGACTGTGAGTGAATCAGGCTTCAAATAATGTAATAGTATACAAATCAGTTATGTGTTTAGTAAATACAACCTACGTGTGTTTTACAAATGGAACTTTATATGCACTTTGTCTAAGTCAGGCCAGTGACCAAAGTAGAAAAAGCAAAGTTTTTTTAATAGCAAAGACTTTTTGATACCTTCCATATCTCACTACTTTCAAATGTAAAACTACTGCAATAACAGTCCAACTATAACTTCTGTCTAGGCTTCTGTGAAGGGTGGGGAGACCCTCACTATATAACGTTTGATGGACTCTTCTATAGTCATCAAGGAAACTGCACTTACGTTTTAATGGAGGAAATCAGACCTAAACACAATTTGAAAATTTACATTGATAATGTCAACTGTGACCCCCGAGAGTCTGTGTCCTGCCCCAGAGCCCTCATTGTGTCCTACAACAAACAGGTCATCACCTTGAAAAACAACAACCTTATAGGAGCTGCGAAGCTGCAGGTGAGATTTAACTGAAGCTTAATATTGCTTTTCTTAGGGTCACAACAAGAAAGATGTGACTGTTGTATGAAATTTACTCTGAGATCATTCAAGGACATTTTGCATCTAATAGTGACATAAAGTCATATTAAACCAGAAACTTCTTAATTGTTTGTTTCTATTGTGTTTAATCTACATAGGCTTTGATGGGAAATGTTGTGTTGAAGTTACCTTTTGCTCGAAATGGTGTGAAGGTGCTGGGCTCAGGCATAAACCTGATTCTGGAAATTCCACAGCTGGGAGTTGTGGTGACGTTTGGAGTCACAGGCTTCAGTGTCTTCCTGCCATTCCAACATTTTGGGAAAAACACACAGGGACACTGTGGTATGGGACCATAAAGTCAAATATCCTATATTGAAAACCATGTTTTTAATGAAGTAATTTAACAAGTGAAATATTCTGAAACATCTTCAGAGTCAATAGAAACTATGTGAGCTTATTTTTGACTGGCAAAAATAACCATGGATAGGATTAGGAGTTTATTGCATTAAAACATTCGTACAGCTATTTTATTTCACAATGATATCATACAACAAGTTATTTGTATCTAACTCATGAAATACCCATACGTAATGAAGAGCAACCCAAACTTTTACTATAAATCAAGTTCTGCTTATCTCTCTCAGGTACATGCAACAACAACCGGAATGATGACTGTATGTTACCAGATGGGAAACTTGTAAGTGACTGTGAAATTATGGCAGATTACTGGCCAGCTAAAGATCTGCCCAATCCAGACTGCCCTGCGCCGCCAACAGTGCCACCCACCTCTGCGCCCACAAAGAAGCCATGCCCGCTCAACCCTGTTTGTGACCTTCTCAACACAGAGTGAGTAGCTATAACTAGTGCTGAAGGACTCTGTGGAAATTGGTAACACTGCGTTACTGTCAAGAAAAAAGCCACTTATCCCCACCTCCCCCCACATGTGCTTTTCACTGGGTATGAAAGAGGCAAATCTTGCATTGCATCATATTTCTTAGCTGTACACATACAGTACAGATAATTCAGACAGAACAGCATCTGTACTGTTGTCAGAACAGGTAGTTAATAGAAAAAACAGTCAAGCAATGTGCACTTTCAAAAAGTTACAATTAATCTAGTACACTGTTAAAAAAAAAAAAAGTCCAATTTAAATTTTAAGGCAACTTACTTCACAGCTTTTTTTAAGTAAGCTCTTTGGAACTGGAAGGCATGGGTGATTTTTTTCTGTGAGGTAAATTTAGGTAAAAAAAAAAGCTGTAAAATAAGTTGCTGTAAATTTTTAAGTCGATCCAACTTTTTTTTTTAACCAGTGCATTTAATAGTGCTCTTACAATTAGTACTTACAACTGCACGATTGTACAATAGCAGTGCCAAATATATGGGGATTTCTTTCTGAAACCTTGAAAATGTACTAAAACCTAAAAAATGTGTTATGTCCAGCTATAGAGTTGCTGCACCTGATAATGTGATCACTGAAGCCACTGTGTGTAAATGCTGAACTGGTCCCATTCAAAGATACTGCTCTGAAGAAAAAGCAAAAAACTTTTATAGTTCTTAGTTTTACTGTCATGAACTTCTGTTGCTTTTGATTTTAAATCATTATGCAAAGAAAGTAATTTTGTGCGCACTGTCACATTAGAGGTATAAAAGATTTTTTTGACGTTTCTTTTTTTTTTTTACAGCGTGTTTAAAGAGTGTCATCCACATGTCTCTCCTGACAACTACTTCAGAGGTTGCCAGTTTGATAGCTGTCACATGACCAACCTTGCTGTGGTGTGCACCAGTTTACGAACTTATGCCTTAGCCTGCTCTCAGTTTGGCATCTGTTTACACTGGAGAAACTACACTGATCTGTGCAGTAAGCCAAATGATTTTATACCGCATGCAGTTTTATTCACATGCATTTAGTCACATTCTGGTGAGAACATACTGAGAACTGAATGAATACCGAATGAAAGCTTTTCTTTGGAAGAGGCTTGTCTCATGTATCTTTAGAGTAGTGTCTATCAGCGCAATGTTTTGTCATTCAGATTAGATTTAGATCATTGTGTAATAGTGTTGTATATTGTCATTCCTCAGCTGTTGAATGTCCAAGAGACAAAGTTTACAAACCCTGTGGACCTGCTGAACCTCCTACCTGTGAGGACAGGTGAGCCTTCATTCTGTACTTAGTTTCTCAACACTGACTACTATATGATAATATTAGTTTCACTAATCTGCAATTACACTGCTTTGAAAAAGTATTTGCCCCTTCCCAATTTCTTCTATTTTTGCTTATTTAGAAACACTTGAATGTTTCAGATTATCAAACTACTTTTAATATTAGACAGAGATAATCGAAGTAAACACTGAATGCTGCTTTTACATGATGATTTCATTTGTTGAAGTAAAAATGCTCATCACCCTATGTGAAAAAGTGATTGTCCCTTTAGCTACTAAATCAATCAGTTAACCAAAGTCAATTCACTATTGCGTTCAGTTTCACTGGCCATGGCATGATTACTGCCATTACATGTCTTATGTCAGGTGACTGTATACAATGCTGATAATGCAGGTGAGTTAGGTAACCATGTTGGGTGGAGGAGGCTGAAAAGGTGGTCAGTCTGAACAAAGATAGTATTTTTATCATTAATGTCACAAATTGCTCATGGAGTTGATGACAGAACTGTTAAAGTTTAAATTATATAATCTTTTATATAAGGCCTAATGAGCATACTCTGAACGTGACTACTGAGGGTTGCTTCTGTCCTGATGGTACATTGCTCTTCAACAAGGACTCAGGACTGTGTGTTGACAAGTGTGGTAAGTGATCGTTCTTTAACCTGATCTCATTACACCTCTCACTGTATTTTTCAGTGAAAAAGTGAAATTACAGGTTCATGCTTCCAGGTGCAGAAATTTCAAAGAGAAAATGAGTTCATGATGAATAAATTCCAAAACCAAATGTAATTTTTTAAAAGAAAATCAATATTTAAGGTGATTATGTTGACAAACTTCCGACAATCAAACAAATGTGACAGATGTACAGTATGTATTTTATATATGTGTGAAGGAACTCTTTGTAGTCAGTTGATGGAAACAATGTTTAAGGTAATATTTGTTCTAAATTGGAGCAATTATTATTCATACACATGGGGTGATACATTTCTTAGTTAGCAATTATCAATGGATACTGCTTTTTAAGACTGTAGAAAATGGTAAATAAGAACATTATTATTTATGTAATCTATGAACATGGCATGTACACTAGGTGTCGGCAACATGCGACTCTTTCACTGCCCTGTTGCAGCTCCACAGCAGAATTAGATTTTTAGGTAAAAATAAAATGATCCTCCTTTGCAGTAAAATAAAATGCTTAATGTCTTAAATGCTGGAGTTAATGTAGCCTATATTTGTTAATTCACCAAACTTTAACCCTGAAGATTGGCCCGCAGACTGTTTGTCACCATAGCAACGACAACAATCCCGCCTAGCTAGTAGCTAACAAAATGGCAAATAGAAAGATTTAAGACAGACATAGATAATTCAGAGACGAATGGATTTATAATCACTCCAGCTGCTTTCCTGATATGTTTAATCTGCAACGAGAAACTGTCAAACACAAAAAAGTTGTGAAGCTGAAGTCAGTTTCTCGTTTGCCAGCTTCTCATTAGAAGTAAGTCTGTGTTTTCATTCATATTATTATTTTAGCTTATACTAGTACATTAGCACATACTGAGACATATTTAGAGCCAAGATGGTAACATGGACATAAAATGTTGTGGCTACCAAGGTGGTTTGATTTTTATTAAAAGGACATTTAGGTTGCTGACCCCTGATAAATACCCTGGCTCTGTAAAATGTAGTCATTTACCGTACCATGAGGTCCTTTTTTTATGTACTTTCCAATGGATACTAGAGCAGAGAAGCACAGTAATGTAATTCATCTCAGTTTGTAAGCAGGCTTGTAAGTACAGCATTGTAATATTTGTCTCACTGTTTGCTTTGCTTCTACAGGATGCCTGGACTCTTCTGGTCAAGCACGAGAGGTAAAATGACTTCATATGTAAGCTCATAACTTACAAAGTTGGTGAAAAGCTTAATCATTTGTCTGATAGACCACAAATGCTATCATCTATACTGGACTATTGATACTATAAATCCTATGGTAAGATTTTAACCATTAGGCCAGTGTGCCTGATAACCTTTAGAATCAACATAAACAAGCATTCCAAACTGTCTGGAAGAACGGACGATTGAGTAAATATAGTGTTATGGGAAATATACAGTAATTTATAACTTGATGTTACTGATAAAATCCTTACACTGCATGGACTTTTAATGCTACTGACTGAGGTCTCTGGATTTCTAGTATCTCTGCAACCAACCAGTATCATAACGTGCTCTCCTATTTTCAACATCAGCCTGGAGAGAAGTTCCAGCTCGGCTGCCAGGACTGTGTTTGTGATGCATCAACTACATCTGTGATCTGCAAACCAAAGCAGTGCTCAAATAATGACCAAATAACCTGCAGTGAACCTGGCTTCATTGTGGTTAATGAGACAAACCCCTCAGATGAGTGCTGCACTATACTCGCCTGCCGTAAGATTGCATACTTTTGTTATTTTTCAGCTGTTTTGTGATTAATTGTGATTATTGTATTATTGTCCCAGCAACTATAAAAACAATATAAACAGGCTCTGCAAATTTAGCCCTGTGTATCCTACTATAGGATACTGCTCTAATGGGTATTGCTGATTTGCATTTGCTGAAAAGCTTAATAGAAACTGCCAGACAGTGTGTAATTGCACTTAACTCATTTATGTCATGTTCCCAAAATCTCAGTGGCGCCATTTATTGCCTTCTACTGTCTGTTGTAGGCTGTGACAGCAACTTCTGTCCCAGTGTAGATGGGAAGTGTAACATCGGTTATGCTCCTGTACTCCAAGTGCCTGAAGGACAATGCTGCCCCAAACTCACATGCGGTATTCATATCTATGACAAATATCAGTATTACTCAGTTTTTCCTTTGACCTGATATTGATATTACTGTTGATATTTTATGTTCCTGATAGTTTGTGTTGTGTATCTCATAGAATTTTTTTATCTTCTTCTCACAGAGCCAAAGAAAGTCTGCGTGCACAAAAACATGGAGTACGAGGTAAATATAAGTGCAAAATTTCCTTTTGGAAAATATTGCATGTTTTTGCTGGTGTGAACACATATTACAGTTTTTTTCTATCACTAACACAAAAACAGATACGCTAAACTCAATTGCCCAAAACTTTTCTTGTATTATGAGAAAGAAAACTGTTTTGCTAGGAGTTTAGGCAGTAATCTCCTGAAACACATATCACAGATCCCCTAAACTCTTTTTGTGTAACAGTAAACACAAGTTTCATTACAAAGTGCTGTTAGCCTAACGCAGTCAACCAGAAAGCACTGCCATTCAACACACCTGGATTTGATGGATTTGTGTTTGTTTTGAAATTTGTGTTGTTTTATGAGCAAAGTTAACACGCTTTTGACTCAGTTGTTTGCTTTTACCAGAAAAAGATGCATTTTGGTGAATTTAGTTTTTGGATTTGTGTTTAAGGTTGTGAAAAAATTAGATATTACTTCATAAAGTGTGTTTTAGCGATTGTAAAAACCTGTAAAACGCTTCCTTCCAGCCTGGTACCTCAGTCCCTGTGGTGGACTGCCAGGAGTGTCAGTGTACCTGGGATGTGGATCCGAAGTCACAACTGTTCCAGATCCGGTGTGGATTTGTGACTTGTGATGAGACCTGTGAGCCAGTGAGTATTGCTTTTCTTTATTTTGGACCCACACTCCATTTAGCCCTGTCAAAATCTGTGCCATTGCTCATTTTATAAAACATGAATGTGTAAAATACAGTGTCCAGTTCAGTCTATTCCTAGATATACTTCCATAATGTGACCTGCTACTGTGTTTGAAAATTCAAATAAACAGTGGTTTATTTCTGGTCTGGTCTGCAGAACAGGCAGAGATGAAGATATACACTACATGCCAAGAAGTTGGCAAAACTAAATAGAGCCCTGTGGGCTACTTTAAAAGATCAATACTGAGAGCACAAATCCAGTACTGAATATACACATTACTGGATAAACACTGGCTAAGCACAGCAATGATAGATTAAGTTGTTTTTACATACTTAAGAAAGGTATATTGATTGGCTTGACTGCAAAAACTGAACTACATGTCTGATCATGCACTAATACTTGTGTTCTACACCATAATTTACCATATTTTAGACTTTAAGCTAAACTATGTAAGATTTTCTTGTTAAAATTGAAAGAACTAACATTAATGAGTCAGGAAGGAAAAACACTAAAATATGGTGTGTGTTGCAGTGAATCGCCCTGTAAAGCCTAAATTATCATTTCAAAGTCAGAGGTGTCAGGTTGGATTTCGCAAGAATTTTTGACCACGTCATACATTCTTACGCAGTAATGCATTAACATTAAGATTAATGATGTTAATTGCATTAACATCAAACGCACAGACCCAAAAAGAAGGTCCGGCTTGATGTTTGTGGCCTCAAATGCTAAATCAACATTATACTAATGACGATATGTGGTAGTAATGGATAATTCACTTAATGCTTTTGAGACATGTCCTTCACCAAGATTTCTCTTTGAATACTCTTTCAGCGCAGCTTTAAGGAAAGTATCTTTACTGTTATTATTTTTACAACGAGGATCCAAATATTCCCTATTATTCAAGTCAGTTGAAGTGAAATAAAATACAGAACAAAAAATACATACAGTGTATGTCATAAATTATTCTATGACACACCAAAAAACTTTGCTGCTTAGACAGACTCTTTATTCTATGCTTTTCTTTCTCTCTCTCTCTCTCTCTCTCTCTCTCTCTCTTTCTCTCTCTCTCTCTCTCTCTCTCTCTCTCTCTCTCTCTCTTTTCCTCTCTCTCTCTTTCTCAGGGATATGAGTATGTGGAGCCAGTTTCTGATGAATGCTGTGGGAAGTGTGTGCAGTCCAAGTGTATCCTTAACCTCAATGGTACAAGACATCTATTGCAGGTAAGGGTTAGTGGTCAGTCTAGAAAGAACTGACCTTTGGTAACTGTACAAGAAACTATGAGGAGATATGTTACAGCTGGAGAATTCGGAGTGGGACGTCTTTGTATTAAAGTTTTTGCCAAGTCCTAAACTTGTCTTTAAACAGCTTTGTAAGAGGTTAGTAGCTTTTGTGGTGATATAGTGCTGAAGGCCTTAACTGCACTATTCTTCGTTTCTGAGTAGAGTGGAGCAGAATGGGCCCCGAGCACACACAGCTGTGACAGGTTCACCTGCACATACATTGGTGGAGAATATATTACTACTAACTACAAGATCCAGTGTCCTCCATTCAACATCGACAACTGCCAGCCTGTAAATATTACACACATGCACACAAGCACATAGCTACATATACACATGCAAGCAGTAAATATCAAATGGCAAATAAGTAACAAGTAAATATCAATAGTTCTAGTTCAGTTTCAATTTATAGTTTTTCATTGAAGCTTTTTGCAACTTCTTGAGTCTGATCTCTAATCTGCAGGGCACAGTGCAGCTTTCTGCTGATGGCTGCTGCCAAGTTTGTAAGTATTACTTATCAGTAATGTATCTTTATCTAAGTAATAGTAATATGTTATTACAGTCATATGCAAAAGTTTGGGCACCCTGGTCAAATTACATTTTGATTATATTTAAGTGAAAGTAAGTTAACAAATTCTACACAGAGAACACTTTTGCACATTTTAGTGCACAATTACTGTTTATTTGCTGAAAAAAAACCATGAAATATGGCCTGTGCAAGTTAAAGCACATTTTATATTTTTTCAAAAATATTAAACTCATCAAATAAATACTGCAGTAAGATTTGCATAAAAATGCCATATTTAAGGTGCCTGTAGAGTAGCGGTAATTATTTTCACTCATAAAATCAGCACAATATGTCATTTGACCAAGAGTTTTCAAACTTTTACATACATTCTGTGTGCGTGTATGTAATGAGTACAGTAGTTTACTCAACTGATTGTATGAGGTGAGTAAACTGTTATACTCATATTACAGATACAGTATGTATTACTTTCAGGAGGTGTTACTTGTTAATAAATCATGGTCTTTTTTTTTATGAACTTCAAAGCTCTGAACCCCAGCGTTTTGTGTGTGCGTTTTCAGGTGTGGAGAAGGAGAAGGGATGTAAAGTAGAGACTATTTCTGAATACATCATTCATGACAGCTGTCAGTCAGAGACCCAAGTGGAACAGACACACTGTGCAGGAGACTGCAACAGCTACAGCAAGTGAGTATATATACACATAGGTGTCAATTATATAAAATATGGTTTACCCATATAAAATATGGGTTGTCGCTGTTTTGGAGGTGAACGGCTGTGTAAGGCTATGATGCAGGATCCTCAAAAACTCTGTAAACACCAGTAATTCTGTTGCACTCAAGTTTGTTTTTCACTTCCTGAAAAGTAAACTGATCAGACTGTGGGTGATGGAGTATGAGAAACGCACATTGTACACGAACAAAACTATCAGAGATGTCAGAGCATCACTCGCCAGACTTTAAAAAAAGTATTGTGCTGTAGTAATCAGATTGTCATTTGATCTGATTGTTGAGTGTAATTTAAGGAAAAATGCATTGGCAATGATATATTTGCTACTCATGTCAGTTCATCACAGAACACGACCTACACTCTTTAACTGTGGTTGTATGTGTATTTAACTCTGTATTTAGTGGTTTAAATAAAGTTTCTCAATCAGTATTAAGTAATGACTATGATTGTTTTAGGAATATACTACAGTAAAAATATAAAACAGGATAAATTGTTGGTAATTTTAATGGTAGCAATGTTCTATACATGTAGTTTGGAGTTTGTGGCAGTGAATATGTTTACTGTCTCTACAGTTTGCTATTTGACACCAATGCACACACTGTCTGTGTATGTTTCAGGTACTCTGAGCTGGGCTCTTCGTCCTGTAGCTGCTGTCAGGCAGCTCGCACCAGTAACAGAACAGTGACCCTGAAATGTCTAAATGGAGATACAGTACCACACACCTACGTCTATGTGGAAGAATGCAGCTGTAGCCAGACTAAGTGTCACATAAGCAAGTAGGACACACATACATAAATATAAGATACATCCACCGGAGACACAGCTACAAACTACACTGAGAATCTGCTGTTCATCATAGAAACAATCCTAACCCTAACAAAAGCCCCCAGCTATGATCACAATGCTTTGAATTTCTCTCTCCAAAAATTCATCTGATTTGATTATTTTCATAGGTGTCTTTGATGGAGTAGAATGACTTGCTTTTATTCCTTTATGCTTATAACTGAAACTTTTAAATAAAATGCAATATGAAAAATATTCATTGTCTGTTTGCTTATGTGTTCATTGATTGGGATCATGAACTCAGAAATGCACAAAGGGACTTTGGGTGTAAACCTGAAGAAATCTATAAAGAAACTGCTCAAACAATAACAACCTGAAATACACCTGCTGCCTTTTGACAATTTGTTTTAACACAAAAAAACTTAAAGTAAATGTCCTAATACTTTTTGGGGTCACTGTACACTGTAGAATTGTAAAAATGTATGTAGCATCCAGCCATATTATGCATGGCCTTTATCAATCGTCAGAAAGACACAGTGAATACATAATAAAACTGTGAATTAGGAATAGTCATGTTTAATAATTCCAGTTTTATTATAGGAGTGTGCAAAGGATTATGGGATCTAGTTTAGTAACCCAAACATAAGTGTGTAAAGTCTGGTAGTTTGAGTTTGTAAGTGTATGTGCACCAGAATCAGAATGCCTAAAGAGATGAGCATGATGGGAAGGGGCTTCTTAATGATCTTGATGATTGAGAAAACATTCCTGAAACAGAATTAGCATATTTTACTGTACTGTGGGAGCAGGTGAACGAACTTAAAGGACATCAGCAAGTGCTTATACTTTTTATTGACTGAATAGTAGCCTCACCATCCAATTCTCCCTCTCATTTCATGTCTATTCCCAAAACAGTCACAACCAATCTGCCACAGAACAAGCAAACAATCCACAATCGCTCTGTCTCTTTACTAGTCAGTGTTTTACTCTTTTACATTTTCACTCACACGTTTACATTTTCAAAACATCTGACTTGCAGTTTTTGTCAATTGCTTGAATACTTTGTCTATTCAGAAGTCATATTTTCAAAACAGCTAACATGCAATACTAAACAGACATGTAAAACGCTACAAAAGGAAACTTATTCTATCAAACACTACAACTTACAAACAGATGAGTAAATTCTTCAAACATTAAACAACCACCCAAAACAGACTACAGGATTCAGTTTGAACTTATTCAGCCTTCATTAGTGCTGTATGTCCTTTACTATCTGCAAATTCTTCACAGGGGTGTGTCTACAGGTGGAAAACTTGCAGTTTTTGTCAGTTGCTTGAACACTTTGTCTATTCAGAAGTCATATTTTAAATCTTCTGCCCATCCAATGAAATCTCCATTTTAGCTATTTTCTGAGTGTTCATGGTTTTTTGTCATAGATCATTTTGTTTTTGTTCATCTAAAAAGCACCGCTTTCCTATTGGCTGTTTCCAAGGTGTGCATGTGCTTAGTCAGTGCTCCTCCTTGACATTATCGCCAAATTATCCTGGTCTGTACAGCTGGAGGATGTCATATTGAGCACTTGTAATATTACATAATAAACTTTATGCTCACTTAAACCATTTACAATCTACTGCATTGTTCTGTAATGATTTGCACATGAAATACATTTTGAAATCAGATGAATCTTTTTGAATCACTCTGTATAATCTCAATAAGCAAGTCTAACATTGTGTGTCAGTTTTATGTCTTACCTCTTACATAGTCTTCTTTATACATGCTTACAATCTGCAACTAATGATAACTGATTGCTGAGTTAACAATTGTGCACTTTGTCGCTTACACAGGTGCTGAAAGTAGATTTGACTATGAGAGTGTGTTCTATAACCTTCTTCTGTAAGTGTCTTCTACTATCCCCTTTTTTATGTAATTCAGCAATACAGAAAACCTGTGAGCCCCAAAAGCATTTCTCATTCTGCAAATCAACACGTTTTACTTTCATGTCCTAAAACACCTCAAATCCTTTATGTAAGTTTCAAAACAACGTAGTCAAGTAAGTCAATACAAACTGGTGTAGAAATGTCACCGTGAATGATCAGATTAACAGTATGTGTATGTACGCTGGTGAGGAAGCAGGATGCTTGTGTCGTTATTCAAGTCCCAGTTAACGAAGACGGTGACTGAGCAGGCAGATGAAGTACAGCAGCTCCATAAACAAACAAAGAGAGACAAAACCAGGAGACAAACAAAGGAGAACAAGAGAACAAACACCAGCACTGAATCGACACTAACATAACAGGGCTAAGCAAGGAATAAAGAGGAGCCGAGGACTATTATATACACAGAACACAGACAAGGACCACCTGGGGGCAGTGATTACCAGGAGGGCTTACACACTGCACACAAGTGAGCAAGACACGGTTAAGAATGCAGCCGAGAAATGCAGCCTTCATTTCTGAAAACTTAAAAGACTAAACTGGTGTGTCATTCCAGACCTTCAATCACCCAGAATCCTTCACACGCAGATCAAAACCATTTAAAAACAGCTGAAAGAGCTGTGGGTGAGATATGGAGGTAGAGAGAATACATCACTTATGTTTCAGGCAGCAGTATGTCAAAATATTGGCTCAGTGTCTAAAAATAATGACTTCTTTTCTTGAAATACTGACTTAGTTTTTTTTTGACTGCTTACACTCACTGTAAAAGATTATCATGTTATTCACCCTAACACAGGCAGCAGGTTTTCAGAATACAACTTATTACTGATTGCTAGAAATCAGTATGACACTAAACACTCAAAAAGATGGCTCTTCAGTGGTTCTTTAGTAAAGAAAATGGTTCCATATAGAAACATGAACAGTCAAAGAAAGCTTTGGATGATTAGATGTTTCTTTGCATTGTGAAAACGTTCTTCAGGTTGATGAAGAATGTGCTGTTGATGGTTCTATATAGAACCTTTCTGAAAAGGTTTCTGCTACAGTTATTATGTCAAGCTTGTAACAATAAAAAAACCCTTTTTTTGCTACATACAACCCTTTTCAAAAAGGTTCTATATATAGCCATAAATAGTAAAATGTTGCTTTCTTAAAGTGTTTGGAATAATGGTAACTTACAGGCAGCCAATTGGTTGTAGGTTACTGTGATTTTGTCTACTGTTTGTCAAAATACAGTTCATTACCATATTTTTGGGGACACAGCAAGAAAACGTAAATAAACTTAGAATCATTTTGAGGTATCTGCTAAAGTCAAGGCACACCATTAAGTGTCTCTCGTATTTCAGTAAGACTGTGCAAGTGCATCTTTCACAGTCTGTTGCAGCTGCACATTTTCACATTCACAACACAATTCACACCCCATTGACCTCTCCACCTGCACTGCTTATGTACCTTAACATGCACCTGATCACCCCTTAACACCATTATACTTACAACACCAATGTAGTGAGATGACTCCATATGTCTATGTACACTTACCACCAGACTGAACAGCCAGCTCTTTGACCAAGCAGAGTGAACCCTATTGTCCTTATAATGCTGTATTTTGATCGATAGAAAAATGCCAACTGTGTCATTTAAAAAGAAAATTATTATATTTATCATTTCACCAACAATACAAAAACACACGTCAGTGAAGTGGCATATCGCAAGCATTCAGGTCTATCATGGTGTCAAGCAACCTCATGCCCATAAGCTTTCAGGATTTTTTGTTTGTTTTACTTTATGTTTTTTTTTTATTCTGTTTTTATCTGTTTTTGTACTCCTGAGTTTTCACGTATTATATGCTGAAGTAGTCTGTATATTTTAAGACAGTCTAACAGATGTATATGGTGCCACACTGCTTAGATCCATAGATTTCAAAGCTTTTTAAGGCTTAGCTCCTGTTATTTTCAGATCCCGTCACCAAAGTTCATGGACACAGGCCAGCTAATGTGCCAGCTAATGTGGCAACATATTTAATAATGTGATGTGAAGAGCATGACAGACCGGGGGGTTGCAGGGTGGTTTGTGGCATGATGACTGAGGAAGTTCTCTGCAGACAGAGAGCGCAGATGGACAGAGCACTGTTTAAACACAGACTGGGCCACTGCAGTGTCACAGCATGCTGTTAAAAATAAAAAACGTTATCACTGTATCTGGTGCGGAAAAAGCACAAAAAACAGCTTTATTATTCCCTCTGTTATCCAGGATTTAAGCGATTTAATCCAGACTGATTAATAGTCTCTGTCTCCACCCCAGAATGCAAGTGAACTCGGGTTACTCGGAGGAGCTCGGGCTTTGCGCTCCGCCCCCTCCACAATCGGGGCTCTCTCCCTGCAGTCCTGGCCGAGGTTCGTCGCCGCTGGTTGTTCGGGCCCCGCCTTCCTGCCGGCTCTTGCGGCCGTCATCGTCGGGGCCCGGGGGGCGGGCGCATGCCACAACGGCCTAATCAAGTTTTGTGCCATAGCGAACCGGAAAGGGAAGAGTGCTGGGAATTCTAATTTTATTTACACTGTACTTTCAGAACACTAAAAATATTTAAACTCATGTAAGACACTGGACTGGTGAGCTGTAATCACTCCGCTCCAGTTTTACATTTCCTGTGATGAAAAGTACACTCTAAAGACGGTGGTTCTTATTGAACCATAAACACTCAAAGAGCTGTTTGGATGCTTTAAGGGTTCTTTGCATCGTGAAATGGTTCTTCAGATTAAAAATGTGTTGTATATGGTTCTGTATAGAAACTTTTTTGATATGGGTTCTATATAGCATCAAAAAGGGTCCTTCTAAAGTTACAATATCAAGCTTGTAACAATAGAAGAACACTTTTTGGTTAAAGGCTAACATATAAACAATGAAAGAAAGCAGAAAACATATTCATCAAGACACATCATTACAAAACCAACTCAAGTTCTGACTAATAACGGCTGTGATATGATCTTTACAGGGCAGCACTGAGAGATGTGTGTTTAAAGGGTTGGGAGAGTTCCTCTGAAAATGTATTCTGGGTAATTTCCACAAGATGATGGTTTTTAGCACAAGGCAAAAAGGAAAACTGCACTGTTTTGGGAAACAAAATAATATGTTATAAATGACTTAATTGTCTGGACTTTATGTGTGCTGTGTGTACATCCATCTGAAAATGTCATGAAATATTTTGGTGTCCTTAATCGGGTATTCAGTAAGGCACTGTTTCTAGTGTAGGCGTAAGACAAAGAAATAAATAATGTAACCCAAGTGTCTTTGTTTATTTCAGCTCAAGCTGTATCTGCCTCAGTAGAAACC